CCCCCCCCCCCCCCCCCCCCCCCCCCCCCCGAAGCTGCTTGCTGTCCGGTGACTCTCTCTAATGCGAACCGCTGAACCCGTCACCATCGCAAGCACGTCACAACAATCCACTCTTTTCACGTGAGGCCATATTTGGCTGTGGTTGGAACAAGACCAAGCGGCCCAAGTAGTGGCTGAACATGAAAACCCTCTTCTCTTGTCGCCAAAAAAGCCCGTTCCATCTCCCAGGGTGTGGGTTTTTACACACGCCGCCACGGGCACCCAGAAAAATAAATCAGCGACAGGCAGTCGCCGTATGTGGCCCCTCCGGAGCATGACCTGTGCTGCCTTCCTGACAAAATTGACGTAATTAATTTCAACTCACAACGGACCGATTCCAGCTTAAGATACGGGACAACCTCCGTTCCCGCAACAGATTGCAACACTCCGATTTACCCGCTTGACATTATTGAGCGTGTGGGCGACTCTAACGTTTATACCCCAATATAGTTCCCCCATTGAACGACAACCCCACAGGCATCGTCCAGTCTATCGATTGCCTTTGCGGCCAAAGAGTCGGTGTAGTGCCATCATCTCTTTCGCTACAGCAATAGCAGTCGAGTTTGCTTCGATCACACTCATGAGGCGAGCATAGCTACGGATCGCATCGGGAATAAACACAACAGATCCCGAGCTCGTACTAAACGGAGATAATCATCCTCAGGTTCCATTCTCCCAACAACTCTTGCCGAGCGAGCGAAGCTTGTCATTTTATCTGCCTGACCAGGCCACGCGCTTCTCTGTATCTAGCCGCCCGCTGTGACAACAACACCACGTCGTGCAATCGGCGTAAGCTCGACCACATAGTCCAACCTGCTGAATCCAACCTGACGGACTAACAACAGGTCTGACAGCTCCTCCCCCGTCGGGGCCAACCCAGCCCGGCCTCAACACCTACGCATCGCGCTTGAACAAGACTTGGGAAACGATTGCTCCACCTTGTCGCACATTTTGCAGTCTACTCCGCTACCGTTTCTTCCGCAGGGGGTGCCGCGACCTTCGGGGTTGGCTGCGCGCCTGGGGGGAGCGTGGTGAGCTTGATGGCAACCAACTTCTCCTGAGCGTCCACCTTGATCACCTGCAGACAGGTGGGGGGGGGGGGGGGACGGAGCATGAGCACAAGGAGCAGTCCGCCTTCATTGTTGGAAAAGAAAAAAAAACTCAGCTGCTGCTGGGGCTGTCTGTTGTCTACGATGGGGTTCAAAGGGGAAGCTCGGGGGGCGGGGGACGGCGATTGACCATGATGTTTTGCCTTCGGCGAAAAATTCAACATCCCTCGAGGGAGAATCGCGTCCTCTACCATCCACAATTCACAGAGTGGTGCCAAACGCGGGGGAACAAGGGAAGGGGGACTCTGTCGTTAACAAGGGTGACCAAAGTTGCCATCACCGAAGAGCGAAACAAAACTTCCCGAAAAATGGTAACCATCCATCCGACAAAACTCTCGGGGTTGCGCTACTTAGGCAATAACAACAAAGCGCAAATACGGCGCTGGGTTACAGAACCATGCCTCCAAGGGATGATGCACGCTTGGCGCTTCCGTGTGCACCACGGCCCCAACTTCGTCATGTCGAACGACGTACCGGCACCCTCAAGAAAACGCCTATTTGAGGAGCAGACTGCCAAGTACGCCAAGCGCTTGTTCTCCCCAACGGCAAACGCCGACACGGAACGCACAACAACAGTTACATTGCACACAATTGGCGTTGCAACACTAGCTGACTGTGATGGGAAACCCCAGCACGCCATCGAACGCGATTGAAGACATGCACGCATTGCCGTGTCACACAAGGAGGTCGACTTGTTGGATGCCGTCCAATATTTCCCCGATACGTTCTGCACCCCTCCTTCCGTCCTAGATATCACGATGAAAGTCTGATATCATCTGCCTTCTCACCTCCGCATCCACCCCAGGCCCGAAGAACGCCACGTACTTCTCGACGCGCTCCGGCTCCACCCACCTCTTGAAGGGCGTCATCTTAGACTGAAACACCATGGAGAATCCCAGCTCGCCGTTTGGTTCAATCGTCTAGGAACCCCGTCCAGGTTACCAGCAGACAAACGGAGTGTGTGGGAAAAAACGCGTCGACAATCACAACCTGCTGTGTTACTCGATCCAGGGCGACTTCATGTTCAGCGTTGGAGTTGGGCATTTGAACAAAAAATGACAACGGTTTACGTGCAAGGCAGTGCGGTGTGCCTACGGCGCACTTCACATTGTCCGTCTGCATGGTAGTGAGCCAAGTAGCCTTGGAAAAAAGGAAACAACTGAGCATCGATAGCGATACTTCGACAGAGTTACGGGGGGAACCTGTCTCATTTTGTAGGCCAACGCCTATCTTGTGTCCACGAACTTTCCCGCAGAGATGCGCGCGGGATAAGAGACTACTGACAGAACGGGGTCGTATTGTTCACTCACTTGCAGCTCTGTAAGGGCGAGAAGCGAGACAAGTTGTGTCGCAGCCATGTGCAGCTTGCCTTCCGCACTGCCTTGTATCGATTGCCTTTCTCGCTCCAGACCATCCAATCAAACAGGCAAACGTGTACTTTTACGGCGGGCAGGGCACGTGCGCCGAGTATTACCCACCGCGGCGACCGAGACATCGCCAACAATAGAACGGCGCTGCTATTCACACCCTCCTCGATGTTGACGGGAAGGAGTGCACCCCCCCCTCCACCCACACGCACGACAACTTCAAGACACGGGGCGGTGCGTGATGCTGTACCTGAGAGATGTACTGGAGCTGCGGGTAGTCGGACTGCGGCATCACGAGACCAAGGAACTTGACGGTCGTGTCCAAGTGCGCCTCGTCTCCGTACCGGTGGCGGGTCACGTCGCTCTTGATAGATCTGATCGTCTGTTTTTATTTTTATGTTATTTGTTTGCGGGTCGAGTTTCGGTGCACACACACAACAGGGGCACACTGTCTTTGGTATGGAATTTCTTTGTTAAATGTTCGGGACCAGGTGTTGAGTCGAAGGAAGGATGGAGAACGAACACGCGGTGCTCCCACAGAGTTTGCAGCATTGACGCCACGAGGATGGTCTGATCGGTAACCACGACAAGAGCAGTAGACCCCCCCCCCCGACCCCCCCACATCTAAACCTTCTCAGTCTCCCTGCCGAAGACATGCTGCTCCGCAACAGAAGACGGAGCTAGAAAACACGAAGTGCTGCCGGGGGCACCCGCACAAGCGACGTTCGCGTGGCTTTCTTCTCTCCCTCTTTCCCTCCCAATTGTGGGCCAAAAAAACGGAATCTACAAGTAGAAAATGTAGCCCAAAAATCACGTGCAACGCACACCTCAGTTGCCTTCTCCTCGAACAAAGCCTCTGCCTCGGGCGTCGTTTGAAGTGGCGCGGGGGGGAGTTCGGCGTACTGCCGGGATGCGGAGCGACCGGGGGATAGGGTGGGGGAAAGTCAGTCGGCGGCAGCACGAAAATAGGCTGAAGCTGTCGCAGGATTCAGATGCTGTACGTTGAAGTCTGAACACGCTAGCGAAATGACCTATTACAAAAGATCCATGACTTGATAGTAGGTTTGTATGGCTTGAGGCCACGGAAGGCGACCGCGTCAGATAGACCAGCAGTAAGGACGTTAGCACGCGCTGAGCAAGTGATTGGACCAGTTCTTTCAACATGAAGACAGTAGCAACACCAACAACCTGCATTTTCAAAGTTGACTTTGTAAATATCTGTATGCCATACAGTATCCCCGTGAAATGGATCGATTTCCATTGATTGTTGTGCATGCAAAACAACCGGAGTCTGAATGGACGCTCCCGACGGAATTGCCTGGCGCAGGCCAGCAGCGTCGCTGCGATAAAACAGATCTCGTGCTGTCCCGCGCCTGATGCTTCCGCACTTTAGTCACTGACTACAAAAAGTCAACCAGGGAATCTTTACCAAAGGAGGCAACAAGTCCAGGATACCTTAGCAGTGAATCACAGCAGTGTGGTTCTACTTGTATTTAGGTATACTTTCTACTAGTCTCCGAGCAGGTATGCATACAAAGTACAGCAGTATCATGGATCTGTCGTAGAGTACAAGATACCGCTGTATGACTGCTAGTCTACAGCAGTATTTTATTAATAAATAGCGAGCAACACGTGGTGTTTCACACCATCACATTGCAATACCAATCTACCACACCACACACATGCAGACCTTCAGTGCGAGCCCGATGAGCGCGATGGGGATACCGTAGACGAACCCGATGCCGGACAGGCCGCCCGCACCGCCCGTGGAAAAGTACTCGTAAAACGAGGCGCACGTGATGGCAAGACCGGCGAGCGCAGCGGCGTTTGCCAGCGAGAAACCCCGGATCTCGAAGGGCGCTTCACCGGACACGTTGATCCCCCCGCCTGCCCACTGGCTGGGCCCGTCTGACTGCATCTGTGGCGAAGCAAGCACGGAGCAGCGTGTGCACGAGAAGCTTCTTGTTGTGCGGATCTGTGTTGGCATCAAGGGTTTGAGATGTTCTGCGGTGAAACTAAAACAACTGCGGCAGCAGGCAGGGAGACAGCTGATGGCAGCAGCCTCATCATGGCACCACATACTACAGACGAGGAGAGCTTTGAATTGGTGCAAAAGGCGTCAGGGAGTACTTTCCGGCCGACTGCCCGGCACTTAGCTGGTTTTTTCGTGTGGGCGCAGCCGTTGCCGCTGTAGATATGCATGTGACTCGGAGAGAGAGAGACAGCAGTTCATGTGCTCGCATACGTTGCCCTCTAGCAACATGACGCGACCCTCGTCATCACACGTAGCCGTAGGGTCTGCTCGACTATGTACAGTACAAAAGAGCAGGACCCCCTGGCGGCCACTCTGCCCTTCCTCAACAACGAACCTGTAGGGCGAGCCGTTGCCTGCGGCGGCCGCCGGCGCGGTGGTGGCGGAACGTGTCGGACGACTGACTCCTTGCCGAGACCAAGACTCGTGCGTGTTGTTGCTGGGGAGGAGATGCGACCAGTCCTCCCGCCGCCGCCTGTCCGACGGGGGCGACGAACGCCGTGCACACGTCAGCCGCGGCCGCAGCCACCACGCAGAAGTGGCCTACTCTCACCATCTTTTTCTAGTGCGTGATGGTCGGACTCGTGTTGTTGGTGTTTGAAGGTTGCGAGAAAACAAAAGGACAACAGCAGCAGTGGTGTCGACTGCGAGGGTGATGTTTTTACTTTTTACAGGCGGGACCCAGGACCCAGGGACAATATCATTACATCCCCGGGTTTCGAACTCTGATGTTCTGGTTCTGCCGCACAAAGCGAAAAATCCATGTACTTGTAGTGCTTCGCATCCTCGCGGGTAATCGTCCTGCTGCGCACGACGCGTGTGCCACGGGCGTCGGAGCGAGCATGACCGTGCGCAGCACGTTCAGTCTGAGTCTCCCTGATCCCGTCGGGGACCAATCATGCGCGTTTGCGAGAGAGACATAAACTCGACCTCAAATAAAACGCTGACCGAAGATTGTTCATGGGTTTCTGGAATAAGTATAAATTTTCGCTGCTTTCATTTGCCCCGTCGACCATTAGGAGGCCGATTTCATCCATAAAAAAACTGGACTGTACACAACAGTTAGTCCAAATGCCTCCCTATACGAATAAGAAGAACCAAAATGAACACCGACGACCCCGCTTTTTTTAAGCGTCTACGCAACGATTGCTTCTTCCCCGACAACACTGGACCCGTCTACCGTAAGATGCTGCTGTTGGTATGTACAATGCTGCTTCAGACAGCGCGGCAAGTCCACCACTGTGTGAACGCACAAACAACTGACGGCTTACAACAGCGTTCACCGTCACACCCATCTTGTGGAAAGCAAAGCGCCTTGGTGGCATATATATGTGTGTTGTGTTCCTGCGGCACGTGCTACCGCACGAGACTGAGCTGCTACATGCACGCCAATAGAGAAGACGGCAAACCTCGGCCTCTGTATGCGTTTGTGAATTCCTTTTACCACACGCCACGCCTGAACCCGACTGATCAATCGAAAAAGAAGCCATGTCGTACACAAAGGTACGCCGCCAATCAATCGTCACCAAAGACGCTGCTGCCGCTCAAATTGCGGTTCTTACTGCCAATGCGACGTCCACTATTCTGATGGGAACAACACACGCATACACCCGAAACATGATTCGACACAACACAACGCCCCCCTTGGGATTCCCAGACGCTGAGAGTACTGTAGCGCTCCGGACTGGGTGGGCGTGTTATCGTGAAGAGGAAAAAAATACCAGCATACAATGCGGCAAAACAAGAAGTAACCATCATCCAGGGTTCCACAGATATAGTCGCGTGACCGACGGAGTATTAGATACCCTGCATGCTTTGTGGCTCTGGGCTGATCAATTGACAGCTCTACACACTTCGCCGAGCGATCGCGACGGCGCATCCTACATCCTACATGATATCGGTAGATGCATTTGAATTCGTCAACAAAAACGTGCGTCCCCATCCGCCCACAACGCCCAGGTTGTCAAGACAATGCGAGTGAGCGCAGCTCTGGTACAAAGGTCCTTCACGCACCACCCACCCGACCACCAACCCGCATGCAAACGACGCCTCTACTGCACACCAAGCCTGGTAACAATGAAAAACCCACGATACCTAAAAGTAAGGAAAAAAACGAATCAAAACATACTTCGCACGCAGCGATCCCATTTGATCATCAAAGCTACCACGTGTAACACCACTCGTCGCCTACGTCACTCTCGCCTTCCGCCCCCGCCGCCCCCTAACGGGCGATTCCATCCAACCGATTACTCCGCCCGAGCGAAGTAACGCGGGTTGCTGTACCCGTCTCGCTTGATCGTGAGGTTGACGTCCCCCTCCCGCTTGTGCACGGCGCAGTAGCTGGCTTTCCGGTCCCCGTCCCTGCCGTAGCTCGGCCCCTTGCCGCAGCCGGGGATGGAGCACTTCCGGCTGACGACGTTTACCATGCTTCGGAATTTGACAACAGGCCGTACATTCGGGCGGGTGTGAAGCGATACGTTAGACGAAGCGGGGCCGAATAAGAGGGGGGGGGG